CCAAATGGGGTAGATGTCTGTCACGTCCCATTTTTTTTTTCCTTCTTTTCATGCTGTAATTATAATATTCAATATTTTATGATAAAAAATCCCATCAATTTTGTTGAAAGAATTTTTTTTATAAATAAAAATTTCGAGATTCCATCTTTAAATAATCTCTGTTCACACTCTATACCTTGTGCTAAGAGATGAAAATCTTAGTGTTTTTTTTTTTATATACACCGTAAAAATTATTAAACTTAAAATTTATCTTAATTTATTTATATAATTACTTTTAAAAAATAGTATCTGAAGAAAACTTTTTATCCAATCATAAGTTATCACATGTTTAGAAAAAAATTTTTAATTAAAAAATTTTCAAATGACAAATTGTCATGTAAAATAATGATATCATTAATTAATTTTTTATCAATTAAATATGTCATTTAATAATCGAAGATAAATATATTTAATTTGACCAATCAAAATACATCTAGGAATCATCCAATATACCTATAATTAAATTGATATAATTTAGAAATAAATATAAATTTTGGCCAATCAAATTTTAAAGATTTATGAGTCATCCAATCAAATTTCACCCACAAATCATCATTTTTTATTTCTAATTAAATTACAATTATTTAGAGAAAAAAAATGACAGAGATTAAATTCTTTTGGAACTCTCTCACCCAGCGCTACCTGTCAATATAAAAAGAGAGCTGATCTAACCCATTTGACACTAGTTTTTTTGGGAGAAAAAAAGCCAGAGCTCTCACAGCTCCAAGAATCCTTAGAAGGGAACTAAGTCCCTCGACAAAAACCAAGAACAAAGAATCTCTAAATGCGAATCAAATCCCTAGATAGGAACTAAAATCCAAGAATCCCTGGGACCAAATTCTAAGATCTCAAGGAAACACCCAAACCTTAAGTCCAAACTTATTCAATTAAAGAACAAGTCATTAAGACACTTGAAGCGAAATCTATACCTCTTCAATTTAAGAACAAATCATCAAAGACTTTTGAAGCAAAGTCCATATTTCTTCAATTTAAGAATAAGTTATTAAGACCTTTGATACGAAGTCCATACTTTTCCTATTCAAGAACAAATCACCGAAGATCCTTGAAGCAAAAGTTCATATTTTTTCAATTCTAGAACAAGTTATCCAGACCTTGAAATAAAGTCCATACTTCTTTAATTCAAGATCAAATCATCAAAATTTAAAGCGAAATCCAAATCTCTTCAACTCAGAATCAAGTTATCAAGATCTTTAAAGTAGAGACTAAATTTATTTAATGCAAGATCAAATAAAAAAACTCTTAAAACTAATTCTTGTCAAATAAGAGAATTAAAAGATTTTATGAATTTTTGTTGAAAAAAAAGAAATAAAGGCTTTTTCTTTGTAATAAGAATTTTTAAAAATTGTACTTTACGAATCAAATAAATAAAATTATTATTTGTTTTCAATTTTCTTTATCATATTTTTGACTCGAAATTTATGTACAAATACAATAGATTTAAAATTCAAATATTAACACCTATAACATCTTCTTCTATCTTAGACTACAACCTCTTATCTACCAAAAAAATGATTTTTCATCACTTTTTCTATAGTGCATTTTTCTTATAAATATTTAAATTCAAGGCAATAATCACTCAAACTATCTGTATTTGTTGCTGGCTGTTGTCATTCATGATTTCAGAATCCTTATCAATTACATGACCACTTGCACAAGAGAGTTGTGCCATATCTTCAAACTTGAATCTTACCATGGAATTTATGCTTTATATTATTTTATATAAAGGATTCACACCTTAATTATTTGAAAAGAGAAGCATATATATTCGGATATTAAAATTTATATTTGTTACATGCATATTTATTGTTCAAAAGATCCTTAGATACTATTAAAGATAAAGCATGTATAAAAAGAAAAAAAAAAGGAAAGAAAAGGAAAGGGGAAAATATAATTAAAGTAGCATATGAAACAAATAATAAACAAATAAAGATTAGTGTGCTTGATCACTGCCCATAAAACTCAATCCACATCTATGCATTAATTATATATAATGCTAATCTTAATGATCCTCAAGATCATTATGATATACCTGATTTTGCACCCATTCATGGGTGTGGCATTTTGGAAGTGCAATTGTCAACATCAAAAAAGCTTTACCATTTATTTATATGATAATTAAGTTTAGTCTTATTTTATTTATGCCTATTTTATTCTTAAACAAATGGGTAAATTTGTTTCTGAATTTTCTTGAGAATATGGTAATTAAGTTTAGTCTGAATTTAACTTTTTTTTTTATAATAAAGAAAAAGAATGAAAAAAAAATGGTGGCCAAAAATTTTATTTTCTTTCATTTCTATTCCCTCCTCCTATCAAATTGCTGTGTAAAAAACTCAATGCTAGAATTTTAATGCAATGATTCTTGACTGTCTCCCTTTGTATACCATCAGTGAAGTATTTTTCACCTTTTATCTATCTTTTATCTTTGATATCTTAATTATAGGTTTTCTCTTGTTGACAGTGATTTTTTTTCTTAATTATTGCAAGAAAGTTTAGATGACATGAAATTATGGTATTTTAGAGTAAAAACATATCATAAATTTTAACCAAAATTTATATTAAACTTACATATTGATCATAAAAAATATTATTGACAACGATAATTAAATATTAAATTTACAAACGAAAATTTTAATTTTTATCAGCTCAATCAATACCAATTATGTGAAAATTCAAGTGACAACTTTTAAAATTTAGAACTTGACAAATAGTGGTTTTTGAGTGGTAGCTTGGATACTCCAAATCTTACATCTCAACCAAGCTATCTAGAATGTTTGATACTTTAATCCAATAAAACAAATAAAAATGAAAAACTTTATATATATTAGTAATAAAGAATCAATGATTCATGATTCATGATAAAGTAGGCATATGATCCAGCCCTTTAGTCACCAACCTAAAACTGGCCATGAAAATCTCTATTCACAAAGTTGGTAGCTATAGGGTTTGTTAATTTTCCCTTTAAAATAATGATTAGACAACTCACAATCATTATCAACTCATGAAACTATTGTGCCTTTGTTCCACCATTGACTTCTAGTGCTACAATTGCATCATCAACTGTTTATCAAACATAGCACTGTTATTATTTTCTTATTTTCTAATTAAATTTTAGCCAAGCCAATGGAAAAAAGATGATTGTAAAAATAGTTAAATTGCATGTAGGCAGAAAATTGGCTTTTCCAATGGTATTTTGATCCAAATTTCAAGGGTTTATTTTAGCTGAATAATTTCAAGAGAATTTCAAATTGGACCACAAGAAGTTATGATTAACGAATTATTATAAAATTGTGAACCTATGTAGAATTTTTATTTTTTGAAAATGGTCCAAAGAATTAAAATTCGTTTCTAACACATTGGAAAAAATGTGTCAATTAAATAAATATATGTATTTTCTTTACCTCAAATTGTTTGGATAATATTAATTTTTACGAAATTAAAATTTTTTTTATTTTAATGTATTTAATATTAAATTAAAAATATTTTTATAAAATTAAAATTTTATAATTTTTAATGTCAAAAAATAACAATAAAATCATAAAAACTAATTTTAAAAATATAAAAAAAATAAAAATTATATATGTTAAAAAACATAATTTTGAGATATTTAAAAAAAAAAGACCAAAAAAAAAGATAGAGAAAGTAATATTTAGCTGTTGAATGTTAAATGCAAAATGTAAATAAAAGTGATTATATTATTAAAAAAATTGTTATTTATTTATTGTTAATAAAATTTTTAAATTTTATATGCGTGGTTAATAAATTAATACATATTTTTGAAGGTATATTAAAAATATATATATGTTTTAATTTTATTTGTAACATTAAAAAAATAAAATAAATAAAGTTAAATATATAATTTCAAATAAATCCAAAAAAATGACAAAGAGAATCTCTGTCAGTCAAGCAGGTCTTCATAGTGGATCCCACATTAGGCACTAGCGGACAACAAAAGCCTTCCTAGTCAACATTCTTGAGAGACGTGGAAGAATCTCTGCCGTCCGTGGTCCACCAGCTATGATGCCTCTCCACTTCAGAGTGGACTTATGGACCCGACTTTTGTCCGGCAATTTTTTTTTTTGTTTTTTAAATTTGATAGGCTAAAAATAAATAAATTCTACAATTAATTTTATTATTATACAATTACTGCAAAAAAATTAAATATTTTCATTTTTAAATTTATTATTTTGGATTTTGTTAATAAAAATTTAGTTAAAAAAGTGAGAAAAAAAATAAAAAAGGGTCATTATTGGGACCTACAACAGATCTTTGACAGAGACTTGTGTTCTTTTACTTTCTTTCTGTTTTGCCTCTTCAATGAACAGAACACACTTTGTTTTTTCTTTTTTTTTTTCTTTAATGGTATTTTGATTTTTAGTTAAATAAAAAAGAGGGGCTTTGTTTTCTTTTGGGTGATGTTAGCAAGTCCCAGAAACAAAGCAAAAGTCTCCTTTCACGCCTTTCAATTAATGGGATAAAATCTAGGACTTTCTCTCTTTCTCGTTCTCTCTATGTTCAAATTTTATCAAGGTTTTGTTCTTTGATCTTTTTTAAAGTTGTTGTTTGTTCACTTTAACTTTTTGTTTCATTTCATACTTTTTTTTTTTTTTACCATTGAAAATGGCCAATTTTTCATGTTTTTTGTCTTTAATTTCAATCTTCTCTTCTTTTGTTTCAAAAGTTTTCGATTTTGATTAATACTCAATTTCAAACCCTTAGTTTTGATTCAAGTTTTGGTGTTTTCATCATTTAAATTTTGGTCTCTCCTAGTTATAGTTTTTGGCACAGCGTTAGTCTTTAATTTTGGGTATTAATGGCCTTGAGTAAAGGTCTGATTTTTGGGGTTTAAAGAGTTACTTATAAATTTTGTTGTCATTGAAATGTTTTGTTCATCTGGTTTTCAAGGTTTTTAGGAATTTGGGTTTTGTTCTTCTGAGGTTTAAGCGAGCATGGAGGAGGTTGAACAAGCTAACAAGGTAGCTATTGAGAGCTGTCATAGAGTTCTTAGTCTCTTGTCTTTACCAAAGGATCAAGTTCAGTATAGCAACTTAATGATGGAAACTGGGGAAGCTGTGTTTAAGTTCAAAAAAGTTGTGTCTCTTCTCAGCAATGACTTAAGTCAAGCAAGAGTAAGAAAGTTGAAGAAGTTTAGATCAACTTTGCCTGAAAAAATCTTCCTAGAAAGTCCCAATTGCAGAACAGTTTTATCACCAAAACCCCTTCAAATATACCCTTCTAATCTGTTTGACAAACCACCCTTTGAAGTTCATGCTAGAGCTAGAAATCAGTTGCAGCTGACACCAAAGGTGTTCTTTGATCAGAACCCTTCATTTGAAATGAATTCATCACTTAAGCCTTCCATCCAAACTTCCCAAGTTAAGTCATCACAAGACTTCCACTTTGTTCACCATCATCAGCAACAGATGCAAAGGCTGCAATTTCAGCAACAACAAATGAAATATCCTGCCGATATGGTATTTTCTAAGAGTAATAGTACTGGTATAAACCTTAAGTTTGATGGATATAGTTGTACACCAACCATGTCATCAAACAGATCATTTGTCTCGTCTTTGAGCATGGATGGTAGTGTTGCTAACTTGGATGGGAATTCCTTCCATTTAATTGGCATGCCACACCATTTTGATCAAATCTCGCATCAATCAAGGAGGAAGTGTTCAGGTAGGGGAGATGATGGCAGCATGAAATGTGGTACTACTGGTAAATGCCATTGTTCAAAGAGGAGGTTAGAATTTGATCTCTAGTTCGTGTTTTAAAGTTGGTGTTATTGTTAACTCTAAAATTACTTACCATTTCTGTTTGTTGTTTATAGGAAACTGAGGATTAAGAGGTCTATTAAAGTGCCTGCTATTAGTAACAAAGTTGCAGATATTCCTCCTGATGAATATTCATGGAGGAAATATGGGCAAAAGCCGATTAAGGGTTCTCCACACCCTAGGTAACCCCCTAACCCCTCAAAATTTTATTTATCATTTGATGTCATACCAGTTGTCTAGTTTCAGTATTTGATAATCATTCATTGAAGCTTGTAGAAAGACATGATTCTCATTCTGTTAATACAAAGCTTTTGCGTTTATCCATAGCCGATTACACAACCTAATGTTCTTATTGCAAGCTTAGTGTTAGATTTGCTGAAACCATTCCATTAACAGAGAAGCTTTTACCATGCAGGGGATACTATAAGTGTAGCAGTGTGAGAGGTTGCCCAGCAAGGAAGCATGTCGAGAGAAGCCTGGAGGACCCTTCAATGCTGCTTGTCACCTATGAAGGCGAGCATAATCATTCAAGGTTGCTCTCAACACAGTCTGCCCATACTTGAAAATGCATTCTTTTACTTTAAAAACCCAACCTCCGATGGTTGGTTTTTAGATGTGCATAGCAATTGTACATAATAATATGGCGTTTCAACCACAGAACTAGATCAACAAGGTTCTTATATAGAACAGCAATTGTGAACTTTTTAACTTTGAATTTATGTGTAACCTATGTCTCTTCTTCCTTTTTTTTTCCTTTTTTTTTTTTTTTTCAATTTGTAAGCTTTGATTGTATGTATGCTTGCTTGACAATCTGTAAAAGAAAACTACAATTTTAACTGAAACTTGAGCAGTGCCAAAAAAAAAAAAAAACTATGCTGCTGTGAACTGATTTGCTAATAATTTTGAGTTACATTTATTAATTTTTTTCTAAAAGTGAGAACTTGGGAACCCTTTCCTTCTATCATCATCGATCTAATTACTACAAAAATTTTATATTTTTATAATTTACTCAGTTCTTTGTTTATCTTTTTTGATCTTCAAATGTTCCCAGCAAATGGTAGTTCATTGGACTTAGTGCTAACACTCTTATCTCTAATTTGGTTGGTAACAAGAGAGTTTAAAATTGACGGGAAAGAAAACAGATAAGGTAAAAGTAAATGGGGAATCTAGCAATATATCTCTAATTTTGGTTGGTAAGAAAAGAGTTTAAATGTAGGAAAAAATTTAAAATTTAACTTAGTTGATTCTTGCTCATAAGTTAGAGATTTAAATTTCAATATTTATAATTTTTTTTATTTCAAAATTATGACTTTTTTTGTATTGAAAATTTTAAGGGAAAGAAAAACAATAAATTAAAAGGTAAAAGGGAAATAGGATTCCAATTTCCACCTCTAGTTTTGGAGGCTACTAGGAATTATAACAAGGAAAATGAAAAAAAAAAATCTTGTTGAATTAATTTTGCAATTTACATTTCTCCTTTCTAACCAGTAACCATATGCAAAGGAGGGCCATAGAGATTAAGTCAAGCCCACAGTGTAGCTGCTACATGGTGAAAGTGTCACGGGCCGGACACCAATGCAGTAGGACTAGCTTATTGGGACTCAACACACGCACCTCCGTATCACGTGACAGCTCTCCCGGCCAAGCCTATGACGCCCTTGTCAGGGGGTCTCACACCAGTCACCACCATGTGAGGTCCAGCCTTGCGCAGTGTCTCGAGCTCACATGAATGCCAATAGGACGTGGAGTGTATTTCCCGGACTCCACCCCCATATTTCCTAGTCTTCAGCTAAAAAAAATTTCATCCCCGTCCCTAAGGAAATTTAGCAGGATAGATATTTAATTGGCTTAGTGATTAAGACTTCAATGCTAGTTATACACTCCTTGAGTTCCAAGTTTCACCAGTGGTAAAAATTGTGAAACATTAAAGAACAAAACATGAAGAGTTGATCGGTTTTGTTGATTCAATTATATTTTCGGTGTTTGGGATTGAATGAATTATTGATTTTTTATTGAACTGATTAGATTGATCCATTCGATCCAATTTTAAGAACATTTGTTTCATTGTATTACTTAAAATGATATTTTTGTCATTTCTTATTTCAAATAAATTTATTGTCACTAGATTTTTGTTTTTCACTCTTGGATGGAGGAAATTAAAGGAAACTTATCTTTTTATAATTAGGCAGCCCCCTTCCTAGGAAGAAATTTTAGCTCCAATCGATGTTTATGTTAGAACATCCAAACAAATTAGTTAAAGCCTCCTTTCATCTTTTCAAATGATACTAATCAATCGATCTTCTAACAAACATTAATCATATAACGAAACTTGACAACACATGTAACTGGAGTCTGGAGAGTGGAGGGACACGTCTGTTTTTGAACACAGATGGATTTCTTTGAAGGGTCTTTTGTAATGTTCAAAGTTGTGGTTGTATATAAACACACTTTTCTCGTAGAATTGAAAGGATGATGCACCAAGGATTCATTGGATGCCTGGTGGAAGGGATTCTCACTGTACGAGTGTCATTTTGATTGCAACTTTAATTGATCGGACTCTTTAACTTTAGGGTTCAATCAAAGTGAAAGGACATGTCTCCTATTACAAGCTCAAATAATGAATTATGCAACCCTCACGGACTTGACCAAGAAAATGTTCACCTCTTCTCTGTCCTGAGGAAATGCATGGGCCTTTGGCAACAAGGGAGACAAAAGAATTCAGCTGTTATTCAGTTTCAATCAACAAAATTGTTTTTCATGAGTTTTAGTTACAAACCCTGTAATTCTTTGTTTCTAAACCAAGAATCAAACAAAAACTGTTTTCAATCTTGAAGCATTTAGATTTAATGTGCACTTCATCTTCAATCCTTCATTGAAACATTAATTTGCTGTCTAAATTGTCATGTCAATGCATCAAACCCTGGTGTTTTCCGTCAAATTCCTCAAGAGAGGAGCTTGATATATATGAAATGGAGTAAACATGAGTTCCGGCCTTTGATTCAGCCAAACTGTTTTTCTATAATGGCTTGAAGTTATTTAAATTGTAAGCAATCTTGATATTATTAATTGCAAACCAAATTCCCATTACTTCGTTTTGTTGTCTTGGCAGCATGACATATTTGAACCAAACAACAGGTAACCATGCTCTAAAACTTTCTCAATGGTCTTTGTTTAGCTATCTATATCAGTAAAAAAGTTAAAGATTTGTAGTCTTAACACCGTCTGATCTAAAGATCAATATGTCGTGGAAGCAAATTGAGATAATTTGTTTGGGTTTCTCTAGCTCATACTTATCTTACCCAATATTGCTTTCAATTAGTGCATGCTAAAGTAGTAAATTAAAACTTCTCAAGTTACTTAAACTTTAAGATTCCTTTGGCAGCCTGGTGGGAGGAACCAACCACGTCGTGATGTTATTTTGTAACATCACCCCTAAAAATTTAATCATAAAACAAAGCTGTCACATATTAAGTCCCTTCCACCATATTGCAAATTAACCATTAATCTCATAATTTTCAATCTCAAATATATGAGCTTGAACCATGTAAGCTTGCATTATAGGATACTTTTTCATCCAAGTTTTTCTTATTTTCATGACTAGTTTGACAGGAACACATGATGAAATGACAAGAAATGCTTTGCTTTGTGAAGTTCTAGCTAGGCAATTTGTTGTCTTTCTTGGTTCATGGAAAACCAAAATATTTTACTTAATCTTTGATGTATATTCTGAAATTTTAATGGTTTTCACTAAAATTCAGTTGTTGTAAGTTGTCTCAAGAAAAAATGGACACATTCAAACAAAATATTTTTCTCAATGGATACATTTTGAGTTCCATTCATATAGTGTTATTGTTGTTTCAATTTAATACTTACAATGTGATGCATCAAAATAACAATTTGAACAATTTGAAATACTAAAATCTTACTTACATCTAATTGAAATCATTAAAATTATTTGTCCGAAATAATAATATCGATATGATTTTAATATTATAAACCATCACATTTACATTAAATATGTTCAACTTAAATCATATTTTGATTATAATTTAAAACCTGATTTTTTATTGGATTTTTGTAATTCTTAAACCAATTAACCCCTCTACAATCCTACAGTCACGTATGGTTAAAAAATCCCAATTCATTAAACAAAATGCTCTTAGAATCTGTCAAAATCTCATCAAACTGTAAAAAACCTCTAATTTTGACCACTATGGATTCAAACTCAAAATTCTTTCAATTTTCTCAATAAAATTTTCCCAATTAAACTCTCATTAGAAACCTTAGATGCTAATCTAGAAATAGAATCAATCTCCATAAAAATTCATTGAGCAAAACTCAATTTATATGCATTTCAAATCGACTCAGAAACACAGTCCCAAACTCAGACTTCAACCTCATACTTCAACCTCACACCCCCCTCCCCTTTCACCCCCAACGATCCGCACCTTATCCAAACTCCGAATCTCAACCGTCAATAACATTCCAATCGGACGGCCAAATTTTAAAATTTCCAAGAATCAAATCGATCTGCGTCATTTCTTTTTCGACCAATCAGCTTTCACCATTTCCCCTATAAATTTCCCTCTCATAACTGTCATTTAACATAAACTGGAAAGAACAGGGAAAACATCAAATCTCTTTGACTCGTAAACGCGTTGAGTTGACTCATGGCATACGCTACTGGTTCAGCCGTTGCTTCCGTCGCGAAGAAGAAGAAGACTGCAGGCGCTAAGAAGCCGAAATCGGTTTCTTCACATCCTCCATTTATTGATGTGATTTTCTCTCTCTGGAAGCCTTAGGTTACTCTCTTTTAAGATTTTTTATTCCCTTTTAATTATTTATTTGTGATTAATTTTTGCAGATGATTTCGGATGCGATCGTTACGTTGAAAGAGAGGACAGGATCGAGCCAATATGCGATCACGAAATTCATCGAAGAAAAGTATAAGCAATTGCCGTCGAATTTTCGAAAGCTTTTACTTGTTCAGATGAGGAAGTTTGTTGCTTCTGGAAAGCTCGTCAAAGTGAAAGCCTCATTCAAGCTCCCTCCGGCTTCCACCGTAGCTAAGAAACCTGCCCCCGCGAAGCCGAAGATAGCTAAAACCGTAGCAAAACCGAAGGTGAAATCAAAAGTTACAACGCCTGTGAAGGCAAAGGCAAAAGTCGCGGTGAAAGCCAAGGCTACAAGCAAGGCTAAAGCTAAACCAGCGGCCAAGCCAACTAAGGCGGCAAAGACGGCCAAGAAGAGTTCGCCAGGGAAGAAAGTAAAGGCTCCAGCAAAGAAGGCGGTTGCGAAGAAGCCGAAGAGGGTGAAATCGCCGGCTAAGAAATCGGCGCCAAAGAAAGCAAAGAAGTGAAAAGGATGGAATGTTTGTTTGTTGTAGGCGGTTCTTTCTTGCAGAGGAGCGGAGGGTGTAAATTTGAGGGTAAAATAAGGGTAGTACGGGGATTCCATATTGTTATAATTAATTTTTATTAATTGTAAAACAAGTTATGGTTTTATTTTTAGGTTTTGCCTTTTTTTTATTCATAATTAGGTTGTAATTTGAGTTTTGCTTTGGTCGTTAAATGGAAAACTTAGCTGTTGATCTTAACATTTTATCTCAGTGTTATAAAGTCGTCCCAAATTGAATTTATCAATAAAATCGAAACAACTTACTTTTCATTAAAAAAAATCTTGAAAAAAAAAAAAAAGAGACTAACCAGACCATTGATTCTTTGCTTAGAAAGTTTTATTTCTTCTATTTCCATTTGAAAGAAGATTAGAGCTTACCTTGGCCCTGGATTTATAATTTTAGATACAAACAAAAATTGTATATGTATTAAAAAAATATGTTTTGTCAATAAATATAATAAAAAATACAGGAATTGAAGGATGTATTAAAAAAAAAAAAAAAAGGATATGCTGTTCAAGGTCCTATTGAGTTCAAGTGGCAACTTGATATGCTGGCATTTGATTGTCGTGTGTTAAGGATTCAACACCAGGAAATTGTCCAATGTCATGTCCTTGAATTGGCTGAAATTCCTTTTCCAAACCAACAGCAAACTCCTCAGGACAAGCTCCACCACTTTGGAAATAGTCCGCAATCTACATAATGAATAATCGAGGTGTACAGGATCAAAACAAGCCTGATAACCAGTCTGAATAGAACAGCAAGACATGACAGAAGAATGGTCTTTCCAGTTTGCAATCCCAAAACGAAAAGTACCAATGAGTAAAGAAGAATGACAGTGGCACTTACATGATTAGCGAGAGCCATGCCACTTAAAGCTGCTGACTCTAAATTTGATCCTAACAACCAATCGCCACAAATACCAGCCCTTCCATAAGGATCAAAAATACATGGAATACCGGGAGAGTTTGTCGGAAGAGCCGCACCCCTGCATTGTCCACAGAGAGAGAGAGAGAGAGAAACGAATTCTAACAATCGCAAAGCAATCTCTGATTCAAGCACAAACTAAACGCTTCAAGCATGTAGCCCTTCATTATTGGATAACTCATGATTGAGGAACTACTTATGAATTCACGTAATGTTTGTAAATCCTAATAATAGGCCTTTCCAATAAACTCAGAATCAACATTAACAACAGGCATTTTTGGAATTCAAGCAGGTCTTAATGATTGTAGTGGAAAACAATAATTTATCCACGAGGTTAGAGAAAGTAGTATGTTACCATAGCTGGACTCTAGCGTAAAAAGGTCTCTGAAGTGATTCTTTTGGTAGTCCAAGTGCCGCTTCCACGCCCTCAAGCATGCTTGTCTTTACCTTATCTGCTGTTGCAGTAGGTATGTTTTCCTAGTAATGCAATATGAAAAAACTTATGCCCCAAACTGCATAAAACTTTATGCTAGAATAGCAAACATGATGTAAAAGTAAATGTCACAAAGGTTCAACATAGAATGTGATGGTGAGTCAGTTCATACATATCTGAAGTTGATGGATGCTTGTTATGATAAAATATGATCAGCTAAAAAGGATATTTAGGCAATCCTTACTCGTTGGCAATGGCCATTGCTAAATATGGAATTCAGGACGTAGCTCTTTATTGATTCAATTATTGGTTCAGCTAGGTGGTGAAGTCCACAAAATCTCAAAACTTTTCTTTGGTTCAAAGCTAACCTGAGGAACCTTGTTTCGCTTTCCATATGCTGCAGTGCTGAAAAAGGTCCAACAGTGAGGACCATTACTGTGAGAACCCAAAAGCTTCATTGAGTTGTTCGCCATCCAAGATACAGAATCAACTCCTTTAACAAAGGCACCTTCAAATGTCACTTTACCATCTCCAATGGGAAGGGGATCCTCAAATGCAGCAAGAAGGGCCCATATAGAGCTCAATTCTAGCCTCTACAAGAAAAAAACAAAAAAAAAAACACAAATAGATGAAAACATACGGCCACAGCCAAAGTAAGAATAATAATAACCAAAAACACTAAAGATATACCTTCATTTGTCTAGCAATCAAAGGTAACCCTGATAAAGCAAGCAAGCGATTTGCACATTTTCCTGTCAATTACATGGAGAAGTTATTGCTGATTATCAAATTTCCCTTTAAATTCAGAAACCAGATTCCTTCAGCTAACACTACACAAAGATTTTTAAGTCTATAGCAGAAATGATGTTTATACAAATTAGGGCAGTCATACGTCAGACAAAAATTATATAAAAAACTAAAACAATTCATTGAATTGCAGGCATTTTAAAATAATCATACAAATTATGAAGCCAAAAAATATGTTATGACAAAGAATCATATCTGGATCTTGACAGTAATAACAGTAGTGAAAATGGCATTCACATTTCATCCATTGCATGTATAAAATAAAATCCTTATCCGACTATAATCAAATCATCATATAATATGTTAACAAGCAAGTTTGAATTAAAAAGGCAAATGTAATTGCAAAGAAAAACCAGGACAGGTGAAACAACGAAGTATGGAGGCACAAAATTACCATTATGAGCAATAACAATTGCATCAAACTTCCCACGAGGCCTTCCATTCTCACTCAAGTGCCACATCCCATTAAATGGCTCAAGTTTGCTTATCCAGCAAGGTCTCACCACATTGACCATAGAAGTCTGCACCAAGCATCAACTCTACTCAGCTATAACCACTGTTAAAATGTCAACCCAATTAACCACCTGAGACAACATTGTCCAATAACGACAAGCACCCCTCAAGAAAATAATTATTTCATTTGTTTTAACAAAATTTGACCTTTCCTTTTAACTAATAAAAATGCTGTATAAAAATCACAAAAAGGGGCAGGAAAGAAAATCAAGGTAACCACCTCAGAAAGTAACGAATCTGCTAAAGGGCGCATTCCTTTAACACCTATGAACCTTGGGGCTGATGAAGGAAGAGGCACAAACTGACCACCCAATTCAAGCAGACCAACTAAACCTTGCCATTGTCGAACCAAACCTTTCTCCAACCAATATTCAACTAGCTCAGCAAACCTAGAATCACTCACAGTAAACAACTGAGCAGCATGATCAAATATAAGTTGTTGAGGATCAATGACTCTAGTTCCCATTCTTCCTCCCAAACCATGCATTCCCTTTAATGGAAAAAATAACAAGAAACCACATTAATTTCAATCCTCCAAACTGCATTATAGGGTTCAGTGCGAATGATTGAACTCCTATAATTCTAACACTTACCCTCCCCTAACTAAACTATTGAGCATTAAAATGAAAAAGAGTAATGGGGAAAATCTAGGGGTTGAATTACATTAAATTGGAGGGAAAATCTACAAGAACATTGTAAGCGCAACACAAAATTTATCATAACTAGGCATGCCTAAGTCTCAATTTAAATTCATTGAACACTCGAACAGCTTCTCTTATCCGAAGAACAATATTTAAGAGGCCAATAAAATAAAATAAAATAAAAAACCAAAAATTTTTAGCACCAAAACAATCTTGAGTTGGGAAGTTAGAAAAACACAGCAATTAAATCTGTTCAAACTTCAAAGAGTGCTCCCAATGAATCCACAAACAAAAAGAAGCATTTTCAATTTCTACCACATGACAAGAAATTCAGAGACAAATATTCATTATAAAGATAACTGGACAACTCCAAACTCATGACATGCATTCTAAAAGTAAAACCCAAAAAATAAAAATAAAAAATAAAAAATTCCATTCACCATATGCAGCTTTTTTTAAAAAAATCACATAAAAATCTTCTTTTGTCCAGTGCTAAAACTACCTTAAAGAACAACAATAACCCACATCAAAACCCAAATCATAGAACCACAAAAAGTAACCAAAAGAACCAACCGTGTCAAAAACAGTCGACTTAACACCTCTTTTCTCCAAGTTCAAAGCACAAATAAGACCAGCCATTCCTCCACCAATAATCCCCACGTGAGGATCAGCTGAAACACCTGCAGTGAATTTGACCTGCTCTTGAGTGAATGTTTTCTTGAGAATTGACCTCCTAGAGGTTCCATATGGCGTTCTTTTCCTGTTTCTGGAAGTGGGTCTTTGTGGGTTTTTGGAGGGTCTTTTTGGTTCTTGTGAACAGCAAGTTATGGTTCGATGTTTTTGGGGTTTAAAAGGTTTTGGGGTTTTGAGAGGGAAGATAAATGGTGAAGAAAAAATGGAGAGAATTGAAAAGGCCATAGGATTTTGTTTTTGGAGGGAGGGACAACTAACCACTTTTTTAGTGTCTTCCCCTATTCTATTGTTGGAAGTAAATGTAAGTGTCTGTGTAACCCTTTTTCTTGTTTTTTAACTCATGAATTCTATGAAAATATGTAGTCTTAACACTTGACTCAGATGCATTTGCCATTTACTTTTCATTTTTAAATAAGGAATGAAAAAACAAAAATCAAAAATAAATTTTAAAAAAAGAGATAAATAGCAAAAATCACATTGAAATACACCTTTTTTTCCTCGTCCATTTATACGGGTTACGAAAAAAGAGTGCTTTTGGAAGTACCAAAGTTGTCCCTTTGGGGGAGTATTTTATAGAGCATTCATACTCAATGGATCCAATGATTTATTGCATTGCAGAAACAAGTCCAATTAACTCAAAGCTTGTTTGCCTTCTAGGGGTAAAGAGATTTCTACCATGTTGTGTATCTCCATATATTGTGATTCCTTGTCCAACTCGGCCATCAAAAATACATATAGAAGACCAAAAAGTTTCAGAACTATCCTTGCTTGACAAAACCCTGATTTTCCCTTGCAGCTAAATGCCTTTATTCATGATCAGGGGCACACTTTCCTGCTCATAATACTTTCCGGGAGATTGTTATGGCTAACAAACCTATTATAAAAATTTAGATGAAGAAAAGAACATTACAGTCCATTATAAAGAGTAATATCAAATGAAAACAAGTCAATTGGTCCACGTTAGAATCAATAACTCTTTTATATATAACAATATCTGTAACAATATAACTTACAAAACATATACAATGCACGTCAATACAAATTACAGCAAAAAAGAAACATATTGCACTACCGAAATTCGAGACCATTTCCCCACTTAAGAGTTAGTAAAAACCAGATGTTCATGACTGAACAATGATGTTAGCATTGCTCTGCTCGGTGATTGTAGTAGGAGCAGCTTCTGTCACCTCTTTTACCTGTTTTGCTCGATCTTTCACCTTGCCAGCTCCATTACTGCTCTGTCCACTGACCTGACCCTTACTTTTGACCTCATTTGCAGTAGTGAATCGTTCCCTATGGTTACCTAAGCTGTGGCGGTGAGTCCGGCAGCAAGCTTTTGCCTTTTCATCCAGAGACAAGTGGATAGCATCACCGCAGCTCTTTCTCCGGGTAAGATTTGGTGATTTTGGCCTAGTCAATGGCAGCTGAAATGAAATAAAAGCAAGAAAGAAATGTTTCATTACCCATCAAAGCTGCATGAAACATATAAAGCTTTTTGTTCAAAGGGGTATATGTCAGATGTATTTTTATCATTCAGGATTCCTGTATAGAAAGTTGATATGCCTCAGCAGAAGCCCTTCTTCAATTGGTAATGGTGTATCTGGGTTTAGCCTGTATTGGCAACTTTAGAAGCACTAATTTTAAGCCTTCTGGTGGTTTACACAGCACACATTAATTCCTTGTCACCAACATGTAAAAGCCCAAATCATTGACATCCAAAATGAATTAAGCATGTTCATTTTTGTCCATTCTATGTTTTTTATTTTCATCCTGTCAATTAATCCCAACAGGGAAATATTTTCCCAGCTTGGGACTTCAAGGACTCATAGAAAAACAAGGAGAAAAGATTCAACAGAATACCTTCTTCAGTTCGACCTTCGGTGGAGGTCCTTCATAGTAGAAACTAGGTACTGGATTTGCTTTGACAACCAAGCTCTTTCTAAGTTGCTTAAGGGCTGCTTCTTGCTCTTCCTGCAAGACAGCAACAGGGCCTATTTTTTTAATTATCGAAATTATCAAATGGTCCAAGCAGACTGACTCTAGCACAAATATAAATAAGAGATATTTTAAATGCAGTGAACCTTGGTCCTGGCCTCACACTGGCTTCTCTCTTTCTCCAGAGCTTGGTGTTTTTGCTCTAACTTCTGGTAAAACTGGATTGAGAAAAAGAATATTATAGTTAGGATAACTTGAAAATGAAATGAGGGGAAAAACAAATGACTGCAAAAAGTATCAAATAAAATTCAAATATCAATTGTTTGGATGAAGAATGTACCTCCCTCCGTTTCTCAGCACGATCAGCACTTCTAAAAGTTGGAGCAGTTCCAATAGTTACCCTCGATCTAGCAGTTCGAACAGATGCAGCAGTACTAGATAAAGCTAAGGAAACTTTAAAACAATAAAAACCAATTACACTACCAAAAACCCTTCCATAATAAAAGAGTTGACAAATAGAAGAGTGAAATACGGGTATAGTGTTTGGGTAGAGAAGTCCCTCAATAATAATTAAAAAAAAAAAAAAACTGCTATGAACAGGCCCGTAGCATCATGTCTTGACCTCTTAACCCAAAGAGAGGATACGAGGAAGTGACAGACCAATTATCTTCTTCATCAGGATGCTTCCCGTCATAAGTCAGCAATGGCTTCCTTGACATCAGAGGAGTCATTAGAGAGTTTCGCTGAAAGAAATGGAAAAATCTAAAAGATCACCACCAGGCATATATCAATTATTAAGTAACATCAATGATCACAAACCAAACAATTAGAATAGTTTAGACAGATGAATAAAACTGGCAGTGGAACATGCTTTAAAAGCAAAGCAAGAAAAATATCACCTGTTGTATATTATTTCCACATGCATGTCAAAATGAATGTAAACCACAGATAAGAATACGAAAGAAAATTCCACATTATTGCTAAATTTCCTTTCAGAAAATTCACTATTGCCATATTTGGAAATCTCCTAACGCAGCTAAAAAATGTGAAAGGCCCTAATTTGAGTGCACATCAACAGGTCAGGCCTCTTACATAGAACATTGCCAATCTGAGTGTCTTAACCAAACTAAATCTCAAATAAATTGGACCAGGTCCAAGTCAACCAAAAGTCCATATTATATTCACTGGATCAGAAATTTAACCCTTACTCAAGAATTGGAGTTACCTCTAAATCCTTTGTAGCAGTAAGGGAGGGTGTAGAGTTAACATTTGCTGTGCCATTTGCACCAGTTTTGGAGATAGTGTGATAAGCATGAGTATTTCTAGCACCAGTGGATTTTGATGCAGTGGTGCTTAGCTTCTTATTGTCAGTGGACTTCTGATCTTCAGCTTTTTCACTTTTCCCTTCAGGGATGTCAGTACCAAAATTTGTGCTTTTAACACCCAGCACATCTTGCTTGTCATGACCATTCTCAGCGACTGAGTTTTCTGCAGTGCATTCCTTGACCTCATAGTTATTTGACTCAGTGCCTTCTGAAACTCTTGGATTACCATTTGAATTCAACACACCATTTGGCTTATTGTCCATGTGTACATCTGTGAGTTCCCTCCCCATCACACTGCATGAAAAACAAGTTGAGCATCAGAATGCTATGAAAATGGAAATCTTTTAGCTCAGATAAGTAAAAAATTCATTCACTTGCTAAAATATATAAAGAAACTACAGGAAAAGAGAAGAAAGGAAAAAAACTAAACGGATAATTCATTCTATATTGTGTCAATATGCATCAGATGTTTCATGCACTTAAATCTCAAACAAAGTGACCACTGCCAAACATATTAAGCTTAACAAGATACATGACACTGAAAACCAACCGTAGCAGGCAATTTCAAGTTGCCAAAACAACCACACTGAGAATGTCAAGTACTACATGATTATAAGAGATTTGAAACAAGTTTCAAATATAACCCCGTACTGAAAACCCACATATCAAATAAAACCTATTTTTCATGTAGATCCGCACATGATCTGCAGTATGAATTCCGCATCTAAGCTAAAACATTCAATCCTAGCTAAGATTGAATAGTAATTACATTACATTCAGTGTTATCTAATTTTGTCTCCTCTTAATGGGAAGCTTTCCAACAGCCACAACATGCACATCAAGTGATTAAAAAAATCTTTTATTCCCAAAGAATCCCTTTTCTTTTCCAAGCCTTGCAATACTTTCACTTTGTTTCAACTTTGGGATACAAAAGGTGACCAGGGTATTCTCCAAAGAAGGATCCTGAAGAGGATTTATGGAAGCATTTCGAAGTTCCCATGAAATGGAACCTTCAAATACAAATTACAGAGAATTTGACTCTACTTTAGTATGCAAAGATGTTTCCTTCACATATAATTATAACAAGTAAAACGCAAAAAGGAAAAGATAGCAAAGAAAAAGAAACAAAAGCTCTTCTTTTTGAATGAAAAGAGAAAATGAAGATGTATGAAGCCCACTGCAGGAAAAAAAGGAAAAAAAAAGCATAATCTTTCAGGTTAGGTTATAAATCAAAATAATATTAAGGAAACAAAACACTCAACTTCATTCAAAGATACAACAAAAAGAGAAGACAAATTAACCAAAAAATTTGTTTATTTAATTTAGCAACCAGAAATTAAAGAACCCAAAAATTAAAAAAGAATCAAGCGGAGCAAAAATACGAGAAAGCCAAAAAAATATTTAAAAATCCAAAACTTTTACACTAAAATAAGAAAACTCAGAAATCAAAAACCAAAGGAAAAAAGAAAGCTTTAGAAAGACTTCTCATTTCTTGGCAAATATGAACATAAAACAAACCTAACAAAGAAAAAGAAAAAGACTTTACATTTAGCTTAAGAGAGCATAAAAATTTCCACAAATCCAACACTTTTAGACCAAACTGAGAAAACCCAGAATTGAAAAAATCCCAGATGGACAAAGAGAAAATGAGAAATTTACCAAAACTCTTCATTTATGCGCAAACATTCACATAAAACAACACAACCCCCCCCCCAAAACCGTACCTTTAAATGAGCTAACATTTAAAAAAAGAAAAACAGAAAACATGATGAGAAAGAAGCAAAATACTTTGAAGAAGACAGCAACGAGAAAAATCAATTAAACAGATCAAACCACATTGCTTACGTTAAAAACCCAAAACCCAAAACAAAAAAAGAAGATAAGAACTTTGATATTAATAAATATATATTTTCCCTTACCGTTTTTTCTAGCTTGATCTGACAAGATCTTGAAACCCTTTTCTTCTCTCTTCTTCTTCTTTTCTTTCTTTACAGTTTCTCTCTCTTCTCACTGTCCTTTATTTTAGTTTGTCATAATAATAGACGAAGTGTTTTCTTTGATTTTCCTTTTATTTAGCTCTCAAGCTTTGAGAGCTGTTTTTTTTTTTTTTTTTTTTTTTGCCCTTTGCAATGCTGAGTTGCTGGTTATTTATAGGAGACAGTTTTTTCAGTTTTTAATTTTAACGCCAAACTTTTGCTCTTTCACGGCGTTACTTCTTTTTAACAAAGCATGCATAAGAAAAAATATACATTAGCGTTAAATTTTGAATTTTAAATTTATTAAATATAAATTATTTTAAAAATATATATCATTGAATTAAATTAAATTTTAATTTATTTTAATAATATTTTTCAGTATTAATTCTTAGTTTTTCTTGATTTATTAATTTTTTTATCCACTCATTACTATTTTTTTAAAATTAATATAATACATATATAAAATAAATTATTCAACAATTTAATGTTGTTTGTACGGATCTAAAAATTATACCTAGTGCATATAGAAAAAAAATTCTTATTCTTAAAGATTAATTCAATTAATAAAAAGAGAAAAATTTTATAAGGTCAATATTAATCTTTGTAAATACTAACATCTATTAGTCTAAATAATAAGGAGCTAGTTCTTTATAAATAAAATCTTAGTTTCGAGTATTGTGAATGAAAAAAATAGACGTTAATAAAGTTTATCTTTTCTTATGGGATCCAACTCGATTTAACTCTGAAATAATCGATATCTAAAGTAACTATTAGATATCCAAAAGTCTTAAAACAAAAAATATTAATCTAATAATAATAATAATAATTTTTTGTAAGATTATCACCATAAATTAGCTTATTAAAAGCTTGAGATGGATATGTTATGTCATATTTAAAAAATTCAATATAATAACTAAATAAACATGTGTGAAACATTGTAACTGTATTTTTTCAAATTTAAGAACTTCACATATAGAATAATAATCATTTGTTTTTATTATTTGTACCCATTAATTTCATACTAGTTAAAAAACACTACAATAATTCTCTAGGCAGATTGAAGAATAAGTAATATAAAAGTACATTAATAATACAAATAAATAAAATTAATGTACATATGTTGTTGCTATTTCAATTTATTAATCTTAGTTTGGTCTAACACTTTTTTTTTTAAATAACTAAAACCCAAAAAGAAAATTGCACAATTGATCATGTTTTTAACATGGAAAGAGAAAAATTGTGAATGAACAACATACTAAAATGTCTTCCCAACCATTTTGATTCCCTACTTTATTAGAGAGAATTAAAGCTTTGATTTTATTAAACTTGATCATCTCAATAATGTATGTCTTGTTGTGCCAAATTTTGATTCTTCATCAATGCTTGAACATGTAATGTTGTAGCTCAACTAAGTATTGGGACCTTAGGTTTTTTATATGATCCAATAAAATAACAAAGCCTTCATTAGGTGATATCATAAAGGATTTGGATTTTAATAGTTTTATTTATATTTGATCGATAAATGGTCCAATTTTTTTTTAAAAGAATCGAGTAAATTATAATTCTAAAATGTATATATAATCAATGACAATAACATTGTACTTGTATATATGCTACAATAATTTGCACATCAACACCTATTCTATTTGATTAATGTGCTTTGCATTTTAATATCTTTAATCAAATCTATTCCCCCAACCAAAAAATAATCTTATTGAAAGAGATGTCACTTTCCAGTTTCGTTCACCATTAACTACCAAGTTTCCTCCACCATTAACTACCACACGAAAGAAAAATTAAGCGAAAGTAGCATAGGGAATTTGATTCAACGAGAGGTGTATGAATCACGTTAAAGAGTTAGGGTTCAAAAAAAAATTTTCTCTCTTAAAAGAAGGAAAAATGTAAAGTTTTTTTTTCATACTAAGATAATATTATCACCAATAAAAATATATTTTCGTCATTAAAAAAAAAGAAAGGAGCAATAAATGATGTTTTAAGAAGGAAAAAAAAAAAGAGAAGGTGTTAAAATAACCTAATTACTTTAGTCATTTTAATCATATTTGTTTGTCCAAAATTCCAACAACAATGTTGTTTGAAACAATACCATGATAATCATGCTTTACTTCCTAAAAACATACTATAATATTTTCAACCATAAGTTATCTAGCAGAAAAGAAAAAAAAATATAATAAATTTATTATTTAATACATAATCATTAAATTTTTTAAATTTTACAAACGAAATTAAAATATTATTTATTATATATTTTTAGATATACTCTAATAATAGGTAACAATCTTTTAATTGATAAAAATTTTTAGATAATTTTCTAAATATAATACTATTTTTGCCATGTTTTATGGCTCAATCTTATCTAACAAAATTCATTTAAATTTTTTTTTATTATTGTCTTATCATAGTATTTGATTTATGTGAGACAATTTTAACGGCATTAACTAACGGATCAAACTTTTTAGGACAGTAACAATAGTGGAGTATAACCGACATGGGGTTTACGGTGGTTGACACCGTGACGGAAAACGTCCAAAGTCTTCAAATCTTAAAAAATATTTTATTTTAAATATTTTCAAAATTTTTGACCAAATAAAAAATATTTTTTCTTTTCTTTTATTTATTTATTTATTTGTTCTGTTCAAACATTCTACAGTCAACCTGATCTTCTTTCAAAGGCTATTTATTTGTCGGAGACTCCTAAAAAGTGACAATTCTTTATCTGACCATATTGCCCTCCATTGAATAATTACTTTTTTTTTTTTTTTTGGTTTTCTTTTACGAAATTTATTTGGGTTTTATGTTGTTTATTTATTTTTTTAAGGGTTTTATAACTTGGGCTTGCATTGTAGGACAATGAAATTTGAATTTAAAGTTAAGCAAATTAATTTTAATTATTGAAAGGAACTTTGATAGGAATTCCGGTTGGAGAATGTTAAAAAAATAGAGGCTCATTGATTCAATTTAATTGAATTTTTTTTATAAAAAATATCATAGTTTAAGAATAAAAAAAATTATAAATATTGAAATTTAAATAAAACTTTATTAGATGACACATTAAAAATAATATATGAACCAAATAAATTAATTTTGAGCTTATTATTTTTTAAAATATTAAAGTTTGTTGTGGTGGTACCCATGATGCCAATGTTCACATAAAACACTGCCTTCATGGCAGAATTTTATTATTATTTTTTGGTGCTTTGAAAACAATTTTGACAGTAAAAGGGGTTGTTTGGAAGGTGGGAAAAAGTTGTAAAGCGGTAGATTTTGAATTCAAGTTGACACAATAGGATGGAATTATGGAGCCAAAGGTGCTAGTAAAAGAGGGAAGGTGGACAGTGAAATTATAATAATAGTTTCATGTGCATTACCCTTTATATCAATTTTCAATTTTTTTCTTAAGAAATTTTAAATCTAATTATCAAATCAACTATTCATTTTATTTAAATAAATTCTTAAATTTTAATTTGTGTTTAAATAAATTTTTTATTTTTAATTATATTTGAATAATATCTTAAATTTTAATTTATATCTAAATAAATTTTTAATATAAATAATATTTAAATTAGACTTATTTGAACTCAAGTAAAAATTTATTTGGATATAAATTAAATAATGAAAAATTATTTAGATATAATAAAAAGATAAAGACTTATTTAAAAAATAAAACAATTCATTTTTTTAAAAAATATTTTGGCCTTAACTTTAAGTCTTTAATTACTTTATTCCTAATGTTTTACGCAGGCTCATGCATGATGTGTATTGTAAGGTCTCGATCCGGCAGCTTTAACCTCTTATATGCAAATATATCCCATAGCTATGAAATACTTTATTTGAACTATTCAAATTTTAACTTTTCCCTCTTAATTTAATAGTTAAAAGAGATAGATTAAAAGTCATATAAAAATGAGTTCGATCTCAGTCATTTTTTCTTTTTTTTTGTAAGGATATTAACCCTTTTTTGCAACCAAAAAAAAAAAATTATTCAAAAGAATGTTGTTAATAGATTTTAAGGCAATTTGGATATTGGTTTTTTTTTTTATCCTAAATTAGATTAATTTTGCTTGTGGTAAAATTCCTCCTTATCCCTAAAAAAATGAGAGAAATATAAATTCCCAAGCATTGAAAGATGGGATAGATCTCTTTTATTTCTCCAAAATAGACCAGACATACATCATTTATTTTTGTACAGTTTTACTCATGATTCACGAGTCCTTTTATTTTTTTTTTTTTAGGTGTTATTAATAAGTTCACAAATGATATTTAATAAGATATTAATTTTGAATCACGTGAATTAAAAAATATATATGTTAAGAAAATTTATTTTTTTTATAAATTTAATTTAATTGAAGTTCAAAATAATTATTAATTTAAGATGAAAAAAATATTTATTGAAATTTTTATTTTAACTTTATGCAAAAAATTTCTTATAAAAAAATGTATAAATTTAATTTAAAATCATCTTACATTTACAATCAATTTCTAAAATATAAATTTAATATATTTATAATTCAAATTTTAACATTTATAATTTCTTATCTCTAAATTTTTTTTATTAAAAAAGCTTCAATAGCATATTAATTATATGTCAATCGTATTTAATTATAATGATTAATACTTACGACGAAGAAATCAAAATATCAGTGAAAATAAGGTCATTCGATATTTTGTTACTATTTACCTTAATTAATATATAGTAGCCAGCTATGTCCTTTATGTACAATTTTAAACTTTGTATCTAGAAATTATGAAACTCATGAACAATTTAATTTGGCGGTACCAAATTCGTGAGTGAACTAAAAATTTTCACCTATGTTTGAAATGAAAGCTAACCAAGAGAGGGGCTGTGAATGCGTGTGAAAAGCATCTAATTTAATGCGTCAAAATCTAGTCTTATCTCAACTAGCTGGGTAGAGCTAGTCAACCAAACCATTTTTCTGACAAAAGGTTTATATGATGGGTCTAACTGTAAAATCACTTATTTTCTTGTTATTTTCTTTTTTTTTTTAAGAAGAGTGTTGCTAAATGCATTTTTTTTTTTTTCACTTCCTAAATTTTTTACAAATGAAATTAATTAATTATTTTTTACACAAAATTTTGAAAATAAATTTTCAAA